TATAGATTTTTTTAATATTTAATAATTAATATCTTTTTTCTTTTAGATACTTTAATGGTTGTTAACCGCTGGAGATGCTCTTAGTAACACAAATAAATAATATTAAATTACTTCATAGTTTTGTAATTATGTTTGACACGAAAACGAAATTTCTTGGTTTTGACAGAATAATATGATTTTTTTTGCGAGAAAATAAAACTTCTTGGTATTGACAGGAAGATGAATTTTTTTGGGAAAACAAAATTCTCGGTTTTGACAAAAAATACGATTTTCCGGTTTTGGTGGAAAAATGAAAGTTCTTAGTTTAACGGGAAAAGGTAATCTCTATTTTGGTGGGAAAACGATAATTCTCGTTTTGACGGAAAGACAAAATTTCTCAGCTATGATGGAAAAACAAAATTTCTAGGTTTTGACGGAAAAATGCAATTTTTCGATTTTGATGAGAAATGCAATTTCTCGCTTTGAAGGATAATATGATTTCTCTATTTTTGTGGGAAACATAACTTCTTGGTTTTGGTGGAAAAATGCAATTTGACAGTTTTGACAGGAAAACAAAATTTCTTGGTTTGATGGAATAATGACATTTCTCAGCTTGGACGAGAAAATACAATTTTTGATTTTGGTGGGATAATGCGATTTTTCAATTTTTGACGGGGAAAATGCAGTTTCTCTATTCTTGGCACAAAAATGTAATTCTTTGGTTTTTGCGGGAAAACATAATTTCAAAGTTTTTGGCGGGAAAATGCAATTAGATGATTTCGTTGGGCAAAACGTGATTTTTCAGTTTTGACATGAAAACAAAATTTCTCGGTTACGATGGAAAAATAAAATTTCTTAGTTTTGACGTGAAAATGCAATTTCTCGGCTTTGGTGGGAAAATGTTATTTCCGAATGGATAATGTGATTTCTCGATTTTTTTGGGAAACACAATTTTATAGTTTTTGCAAAAATGTAATTTGACGATTTTGTCGAGAAAACGTGATTTCTCGGTTTGACATGAAAATGACAAAATAAATATAAATATGCTAAATACAAAATATAAAAATTATGCTAAATACAAAATAAATATAATATTTATTTATATTATAAAAATATTTTTTTATATTTAAAATAAAAAAAATAAAAATTATATCCTGCAGCGTAACGCAGATAGTTACCTAGTATATACAATATTGATATGTTATCTATAGATGTGATGATGATGTGATACGTGGAAAGACCAGGCCTTATTATTGAACTTCAGACAAGACCAATCCGTAATAAGACTACTAATTATTTTTTTTACCAATTTGTTAGAACAAATTATTGTTTTGGGTTAGACTCTAGATCATGAGTAACCGATTATATGGAGTTAAATATATTGATTTTTAATGCTTTTACGTTAATTAATTTCTGCAATATCGTGAACAGAAAGACTGGTTTTTTTTTGAAGAAGAATTAAGACTGGTTTTCTCTTATATATTCACAGTAAACTTATGTACTAGCACGGAAAAGAAACTATCAAAAAATATAAAACTCTCTCGTAATGTATGATGAAAACATATCACATATTGTATAATGAATACATAACAACCTCTCACGTTTAAAATGATTTCTTTAGACAACATTTGCTTATTGTGTAGGACGATGACTTTTCTATTTAACGGAACATGCGAAACTGTGTACGCATTTTAATTTTGTTTTTTCTTCTCTGAGAATCAAATGAAAACAAAACCATAATTAGGTCAAATCTTGTCAAGAAAGAATTGTGTCTTTTTTAATTATTTAGATGTCCTACTTCTAAATCGTATGTATTTCGTTATTTGTTTGGGGCGGCTATAATCAAGAAATTTGGCCAACTATTATGGTTCTAGCTAGTTAATGACCATTAAAAGAACAACGTAAATGAAAATGAATAAGATAATACTGTAGGAATAAATGAAAATGAATAAGATAATAGGAATAAATGAAAAAAAAATTAAAAAAAAAATAAAACAAATAAATATATTTTGTTCCTTACCAAATTTGATAAGAAATAGTTTTGTTCTATAATTCTTTTTAGAATAGGAAATAGTAAAGAATGATGTGGAAACAATATTCCTATTAAATGGTAAAAAAATTAAAGAATGAAGAGAAATTCATTATTCCTCATCATTCATTTGGTCACTAGTTATACCCTCTATCTGAATCTTCTTAAAATCTGATGTCCTCGAGATTAAATCCTCTATATATTAATTAAGAAGTATTTTAAGAGAGTATCCTCGTTTTTGTAAGTATATACAGTGGTGTCATTATGCTGATGTGTCAACTCCATATTCATTCTCAGCTAATTTTTTTAAAGAGATTTAGATTACTAGACTAATTACATGATATGCAATTGTATATTTTAGGTCGACACATATGTTATGTTTATTTTTTAAATGAATTCAAAAGAAATAATATACAAATAATAATTTAATAGAATAATTTTTTCAATGCTAATTATAATATGCACAAAATAATTTATAATATATTACTTTTAAAATATTATCTACAAATATTTTACTACAAATTCATAAAAATATATAATATTTTTTAATATTTTCTACATTTATCATTCATAACAAAATATATAATATTTTTTAATATTTATTATTATTATTATTTTTAAATAGGTTAATTAATCATACATTAAAAATATTTTTATAGATACAACAGAAAAATTAAAAAACATATTTTATTTCTTCAAATTCATAATAAATATATAATATTTTAATATGTTTATTTCTTTTGTCAGAAAATATTTTTATTAATAGTTCATTAAAAATATTCTTATAAATACAACATAATAGTTTAAAATAATAATTTAATTTTCTCAAAAATCAATCAGAACATATAAAAGAAAACTATATTGATTTTATTCACATATTGTTGTAATTATGGTATACACGAAAATAATTATGAAAATATATCTAAATACTTAAAAATAAATATTTTTAATGTATATTTTTAAAACAATTCATAATAATATTTACAAAGTATATTATTTTATATGTTATTTTCGTCAAAAGCCAATCAGAAAAAATCAAAATGACGAATTTCTAAAATTATTATGATATATATTATTACTCTTTGGATTTAATATATAAGAAAATATGGCATATGATATTATTACTTAATTTATATAAGGGTGAAAAATATAGCATATAATATTATTGCTTACATTTTTGGTAAAATATCATAACATGATGATACTAATATTAACTGCTTAAACTTTTTTTGAATCAATATTTGATTTATCATATACCAAATTCTCTGCAAGATTTTTTTGTCTTTCTTTTGATTTTATTAGTGGTTAGAAAATGTTTCAATTTGTTAATCTTTAAATAAATTACCGAAAAGTTTAAGTTTGTCGGTTTTAAATCAATAAATATAATTACAATAGAAACTCTATAGATTAAAAATATTAGAAATTTAATATTTTATTAATTTATCTGTTTTTGAATTAAATAATTAAATAAAAATAATATTTGTTTAGAAATTTAATGATATCTTTAAATATTTTACTTTTAAATTTTAGATAAACCATAACATTATTCCAACTTTAATAAAAACAAATAATTATATATTCATATTTTAGTAAATTATCGTAGTTATATACTAATATAATATTATTTTATGGTAATTATTAATTTATAAAATTAATGAAACTATATATTTACATAGGTTTTTTATAAAAACTTAGGCTTTTTGATAATTTATATTTACATATTGTATTTTATAGGTAGACAAACTTTTGATCAATTCCCATTGATAAATGGTATTAAAGAGCAATCTTTGCTTTTATATGCAAATTTATTTATTAAAATACTTTTATATTTTGGAAAAACAAATTTTGATTAAATATGTTTGGAGTTAATAAAATAATAACTGTTTTTGTAAGAAGAATAATTATTTATATTAATTTATGGTTATAGTTGTTGTTTTTCTAATTTTGTTGTCTTCTATATATTTTTATTTTCAATTATTTTGATCATATACATATTCAAATAATTCTGATTTTAAATTTAGTTATCTACTTTTTATATTAAGATTCTGAATTTTTTACAAATTAACAAATATAGTATATGTAAAGTTTTGGACATTGGTGAAAACACTGAATCATGTCGTTTATCATGAGATATATAAGATTTATATAGCGATTTCGTATTTTTACCCAACTAAACATTGGACCATGTATATGATATTAATTTTTAAATTAATTTATATAACAATTTTAGTATGTTATTGCATACTATTATATGAAACTCATATAAAATCAATTATATCATATTCTGTAATCTTAAAATTAATCTAATATTTATATATAATAATTATTCATCATGCACAGTGTGCAAGCTATTACCTAGTTGGATATTATTCTTTGAGCTATTATAACTAACTTTTTAATCTCGCAGAACATAAGAAACATGATTTTTCCTAGTCATACCAAAAGTGTAATTGAAACTTATCCTAGTTTTCGTGAAGACAAATTAGACTACGAACATAAGAAAAAAGATTTTTCAACACAAAAAAAAAAGAAAAAAAAACATAAGAAACATGCGCATAAAACATAACCAGAAGAAGATGCACCAAAGATATTTTATCAGCCCTAACACAAACAACGCGCATATATCTTCTATATCGACCCAGATCGATTAAATCAATCCATTTTCCAAATGAATTGGCAATTCAAACTTAAATCCGACCCGATGCTAAGCTTTGTACTTATTTTTAGCCATTTTTTAGGTTAAGCTTTATTTTTTTTGATAATTTTTCTCATCTCGCTCAGTTATATTTAATTAGAATAATGTTTCCGAATACTTTTATTCACTTTTTTTATTTGATTAGTACATTACAAAAATAATAGTTTTTTGAAAATACTGCATGTAGGCCATATTTGTTCGATAACAATTTATTGATTTAATGGTACCACATTCTCTCGCCCTCATCCCGTCTATAAATTAAGTACATCAAGTGTTATGCTTAGTAGAAAGAAAAGAAAAGAGAGAGAGAGAGAGAGTAGCCTCCAAATTAAAGTGTGTGTATGTGTTTTCCTAATTTCTATTACCAAATTTTACAAATGGCTACTCACAATATCTCCTTTGGTTCAGCTTTTGTTTGCAATGCTCATCATCAAAACAATCAGGGTTTTCCTTGCAAGGCCGTCTCCAAAGTGGTGTCTGCTCAGGCTGTCCCTATACGCCGCCGCTCCGCAAACTACCGTCCGCCTCTATGGGATCATCAATTTCTCATCTCGCTCGAGAATATATATGCGGTACATATCATACTATAAGTGGATGTTTTATTGTGATATGTTAAAGTGTTCCAATATATATTAGTAATGACGAAATTGACTTATATCATATATATTATTAATGGTCCAACACTATTCCAAATTTGAGATTCCAAACATTAATATATAACACTCTCTCAATATATATAGAAAGAATCTGTGGAGAAAGCTAAAATGTTGAAGGAAGAGGTGAGGAAGACACTAGTTGAGACTGAAGGTTCTCTTGAGCAGCTAGAAATGATCGATTCTTTGCAGAGACTCGGAATCCCGTATCATTATAAACACGAAATCCATAATATTTTGAAAAATATTCACGACCAACGTGGCGGGATTGAAATGGAATCACAAGATCTTCATGCGACAGCTCTTGAATTTTTTATCCTAAGGCAACATGGTTTTGATGCCTCGCAAGGTTATTAGATATAATAATCTTTGCACACAAAAAAATATAGTCTAACAATCATATAAGTAATCTCAAGTAATCTCGTATTTGGGAACGTCAAGACTTTTCCAAAAGAAATAATAAGTATTTGTATTTCATATATTGCAGATGCTTTTGACGTTTTCAAAAGTGAAACCGGAGAATTCAAAAAAACTTTACGCAACAATATCAGGGGTTTACTCTCTCTGTACGAAGCTTCTTATTATTCAATGGATTCAGAGTTGAAACTCAAGGAGGCTAGAACTTATGCATATGAGCGTTTGAGCGAGTTTGTCGCGGAAAATAGCAAAACTATTTGCGGTAAAGATGAAGCTTATATGTTAGAGATGGTGAAACGAGCACTAGAAAAGCCGTATCATTGGAGCATAAGGAGACTGGAAGCAAGATGGTACATAGATGTGTACGGGAACAAACATGACATGGATCCTCTATTGCTAGAGTTGGCAACACTTGATTTCAACATTGTACAAGCTAATCATCAAGAAGAACTGAAACTCATTTCTAGGTAATTATTAAGTAATTCTACACATGCATGTATAATATCCCTCACAGAGTCACAGTGAATGATATATATATATATATATATGACTTAATTAATTAGTTTTGTACAATGTAGCTGGTGGAACAGCACAGGACTTATGAAACAACTTGATTTCGTGAGAGACCGAATCACGGAGAGTTATTTTTGGACGATTGGAATATTTTACGAGCCAGAGTTTAAATACTACCGCAAGATACTAACCAAAATATTCATGTTAATTGCGATCATGGATGATATCTACGATATCTATGGTACATTAGAGGAGCTCGAGATTTTCACAAATGTGGTCGAAAAGTAAGTATATTGGTTAATATAATAGACACATGACTATATCTAATGTAAGAAAATTATAAGAAATCTTTAATTGAAATATCTTAATTTTATAAATTCACTGCAGGTTTATATATATCTTTGAGATATTGCATAAATTTTTTCATCAGAAATTTATTTATTGAAAGTATAAATTGTTATTATTCAACATTATTTTGGAATTATTATATCTCAAATAGTCAGTCAATAAGTAAAATATGGAGGGATCATATATATATTTTAATTTTCTTTTCTTGTCTCTTACTTTATATAAGGAAATTAAGAATGACATAAATTAATCTAAAAGTACTTAAAGATATAATTTATAATATTTTTTTATCTCTAAAATGTGCAATCGCAATATTATATTTGATATAATTAATAAAATTGTAGGAATCATTTAGAAACGATGTAGGGAATTGAAAGATGGGATCATATTTTGGATTTTGTCTCTCATGATAATCCATATAATTATGTACTCTTTTTTCAGATGGGATGTGAACCATGTCGAAAGACTTCCTGAATACATGCAAATATGTTTTCTTTTTCTATACAATGAGATCAACCAAATCGGTTACGATGTTCTAAGAGACAAAGGACTTCCAATCATTCCTTACCTCAAACAAGTTGTAAGTTTTTCTAAAATTTTTGTTTATAAATCAATTAATAACAATAATTGATGTTATATATAAAGCTTTAATTTTAATCTTCCAAGTGGACGGATCTATTTAAAACGTTCCTGATCGAAGCGAACTGGTACAAGACCGGACACAAACCAAGTTTCGAAGAATATATGCAAAATGGTTTGATCTCGAGTTCTGTCCCGACGATATTGCTCCACCTTATATCCATCCTCTCCGACCACATTTCCGACCAAACCCTAACTGTTGTTTCCAAGAACCACCACTCTGTCGTCCGGAGCTCCGCCACCATTCTTCGTCTCGCCAATGATCTCGCCACCTCAACGGTATACACATTACTAGCTAGTTAAATATATTTATTAACAATTTTGCCATATGTCATGTTTGCAAATAAGAGGATCGGATTTACCTATCTAATGCATATACTTTCTTCTAATAATATGAAACAGCAAAAGGTCTTATATATATTTTTAAAACGACAAAAGAATCTGTAATAGCTTTACCACTAATTAAAACGCATAAGTTATTTAACACTATTCCTTTGACAAAAAAAAAGTCAAAAACAAATACAAATATATAACACTAAAATACTGAAGTAGTTTCATAATTCTTAAATTTTAATAATTTACAGGAAGAGATGGCAAGAGGAGATTCACCAAAGTCAGTCCAATGTTACATGTGCGAGACAAGAGCCAGTGAAGAAGAGGCACGTGGACAGATGCAAAGTATGATCAGCGACTCGTGGGACGTCATTAACTCCGATTTCAAAACGGCACACAGTTCTTCTCTTCCCCGTGGTTTCGTGGCGGCGGCCGCAAACCTTAACCGGGTGGTACAATGTATCTACCAACACGGGGATGGGCACGGCTGCCCGGAAAAGGCCAAGACCGTTGATCATATCCGCTCCGTACTCTTCAATCCCGTTCCGTTATAGGATTGAAAATTTGTATTTGTCGTATTATAAAATATATTTTTCATCAGAAAACATAGATTGGTACGAGTTGACGCATATAAGAGATGTTATTAAACCAGCGCTAGTGCAGTTTATTTATATATATAAATATGAATTTATTGGTATGATAAGAACGTACATAAAATTTATCTCCTCACAAATCTTCGTATAAATGTATTTTTTGTATCAGCTAGTACTTATTTCTAGATCTTCAATCGTTTTTATATTCATAACCTAAAACTTTAAAGTTGTTACAATGGAATTCATCTATTATACATAAATAGAATCGATGTTCCTGCATATCCAAGATCACCTAAAACGACTAAGGAGTCAGCAGAAATCAAGATGTACAAAAATAAATTTAAGGTAATATCAGGTTGTATAGAAAATAAAATTAGTTATTTGAGTGAAATTAATAAATTATAAATTGTGAATTATAGAGAAGTGACAGGAGTGTCCCATGAGATAATAAGGAGGAGCTATACTAGTATCCTTTCTCTTAGCTTTGACATCGCCGTGACGTCTTTGCCCACATGTGATTTGCTCGTTACCACCACTTCTCTTAGCGTGGTCCAACAAAATTTGCTTGTCAGTTCTCGTTGAAGATAGAAACATTTATAGTCACATGGAGAGTCGATAGACTATAGCTATTCTTTCTTTTTTTCATGATTTTTTTTTTGATTAAAATTGATATGTATAATTTAAACTAAAGGAAAAACAAAAAAATACAAACATATTATTTATGTTTGGTTAAAATTGCAGATATTTTCTGGTATTGTATGGATGTCATTCCGACAGGTTTTTTTTTTTTTTTTTGAAAATGATCATCCCAAAATGTTTTAGCCATTACTTCTCCAAGATATTTACGAGAACGGATACTAGTTAAGATATCATCGGCGAGTAAAACGTCGGACTAATGCTAAGGACTAGCCATAACTCATATCATATAAAATGACAAAACAAATATCATATGACAAAAAAAAACAGAAAAACAGAAAATATCTTCATGATGTGTGGTCCAAAACCCAAACCTTAAACAGTATAAAATATCATGGCAAAGTGTAAAGACGTACCGGTTCATCAAATTATTTAGCATTTTAGTTTAATCATTAGCATATCAAAGAAATGCCTAAACGACAGACTCATCCGCGTTTCACTCGCAAGGCTGTATCGGAAACACAGTCACAGCCTCTTGAATCCCGTCGCTCTGCAAACTATCGACAGTCTCTTTGGGAGCACGAGCATCTCCTCTCTCTCGGTAATACATATGTGGTACGTATGAAAATCTGCAACGTCATGTTATATATATATATATATATATACAGATATATTAATATTCAGGAACTTTAACAAAAAAAATATATAAATATTCAGGAAGGTACTGTATAGACTATAGTGATAAAATTTTATACCATGCAGAAAGAGGACAGCACCGAGAGAGTTCAGTTATTGAAGGAAGAAGTGAGAAACATGCTGAATGAAACAGAAGGTTTACTCCAACAGCTAGAGCTCGTCGACACTTTACAAAGACTCGGAGTTTCTTACCATTTCGAACGTGAAATTAAGAAGATTCTAACGAATGTGCACGTAAAAACTGTGAGACACAAAAACAGGGTAGATCGAAAGAGATATGAATGGTTATACGCGACTGCCCTTGAGTTCCGACTACTAAGGCAACATGGTTTTAGTATTGCACAAGGTTGAGAAAAAATACAAAAAAACAAATTTGACATTTCTAACTTTAGAGTCATAATTTTAAGCTTTCTGACTATATTTTCAATTCTGGAAATGGAAAAAATGCATAATTAGAAAATAAATATTAATGTGTTTTATATAATCTAATAAAATTGTGATTTCTTGTAGATATTTTCAGCGGGCATTTTGGAGATTATTTGGATGATGAAGACATCAAGAGTGTTCTTTCACTATACGAAGCTTCATATCTCTCTACCAGATTCGATACTAAACTGAAAGAGACCATATACTATACAACAAAACGACTTAGAAAATTTGTGGGAATGAAGAAGACTGAGACCACATCTTATGTTCGGAAGATGGTGATCCATGCGTTAGAAATGCCTTACCATCGGAGAGTGGAAAGATTAGAAGCAAGATGGTACATAGACGTGTACGGAGAAACGCAGGACATGAACCCTAACTTGCTCGAACTGGCGAAACTTGATTTCAATTTCGTACAGATTATTCATCAAGACGAGCTCAAATTTCTCTCTAGGTAAGTTAACTTAACATCACATGATTCATGGACTTTGAAACTCTTTTTCCATTTATGTTTATATTAGGAATCACTATATCTCAGAATTTATGTAGATAATTTGCAAACCGTTGAGTTTATAGTTCATCGAAAAAGTAAATTGTGGTATTGATGTCTTAAATGTGGACATGGTATATAGTTCATATGTAGATTGCATTATGCATACAACATGCATATTAAAAATTCAAAAACATTACATATTTCTTTAACAAAAAAAATTACATATTTTAATTCTATATTGTTTTTTTGTCGAAATTTTAATTCTATATAGTTTATCATATATATATATGAAGCAGCTGGTGGAGCAAGACGGGATTAACAAAACACCTTGATTTCATAAGAGATCGAGTAACGGAGAGTTACTTCTCGAGTGTTGGGGTAATCTATGATCCCGAGTTTGCATATCACCGACAGATGCTTACAAAAGTTTTCATGCTTATTACAACTATCGACGATATATACGATATTTATGGGACACTGGAGGAGCTCCAACTATTTACGACCATAGTTGAAAAGTAATTAGTAACTAGCAGATTTTACTATATATAATCCACCCATTTGTTTATTTGTTCATTCCTTTTTCCTTTTTTTTTAAAGCAGATGGGATGTGAATCGCCTTGAAGAACTTCCCGAGTACATGAAGTTATGTTTTCTCTGCCTCATCAACGAAATAAATCAGATTGGATATATTATCCTCAGAGATAAAGGAATTAATGTGATTCCTTACCTAAGAAAATCCGTACGTATTGTTGTCATTCTCATTAGCTGCATGGCAACAAATGAGCCGATGAACTAGTTGCCGAAATGTCAATTATTAATTTAAAGTAAATGTTTTTTCCCAAATTATTTTAAGAAAAGAAAGGAACACTAATGTTTTTTTTTCTTCAATTGTCTTTGTCAAGATTTGTTTTAAAGAAATTCAATATGGATACATACATATATACATTTCTCTAAAATCACTTTATAAATTTATTTTGTTTTCTCTTCTTAGTGGGCAGATATGTGTACAACGTTTTTAAAAGAGGCGAAGTGGTACAAAAATGGTTACAAACCTAACCTCGAAGAGTACATGGAAAATGGTTGGATATCAAGCTCTGTCCCTACAATACTTCTCCACTTGTTTTGTCTCTTCTCCGAACAAAACTTAGACATTATTGTCTCCCACCACCACCATGTTGTTCGAAGCTCTGCCACCATCCTCCGTCTCTCTAACGATCTCGCCACTTCCTCGGTCAGTCATGGTTTCACAAATCACAAAATATAGTATTACAAGTTTTAAACAGATAATTATGACAGTTGGCTTTTAAACGCAATTGTAAAGTAGTGAATTATTCACTTTAAACAAATAATAGTTTATCTATATTTGTTAATGATTGTCCACATAGTTAACTAGTCTTTTCTTTTTATATGGATTCCGCAAAATTTGGGTACTCTCACAAATGTGATTCATGTTTAAAGCGATTTATAAAATATCTAGTTGTTTACTCACAAGTCGCAACATATGAATATATGATATGTGATAATGTAAATATGTAAGAATGTAACAGGAGGAATTGGCGAGAGGTGACACTATGAAGTCGGTACAATGTCACATGTATGAGACGGGAGCTTCAGAGGCAGAGTCACGTGCGTACATTCGACGAATGATCGGTGTGGCTTGGGATGACTTGAACTTGGAGAAAAGGAGTTGTTGGCTACATCAAGGTTTCGTAGAAGCTGCGGCTAATCTTGGACGCGTGGCTCAGTGCGTTTATCAGTACGGTGATGGCCATGGATTTCCCGATAAGGCTAAGACCGTCGGTCATGTCCGGTCCTTGCTCATCCACCCTGTTCCAATCGATTAAAACTGCCTATTAAATCACACAAATAATATTGGATCAGTTCAAAGAGTTGATCCCATGCAGATATGGCTCCGATTGGTAAGGACTGTGACTGTAGGCTGTGACTGTAAGCTTTTGGCTGTAGAGAATTTGATTTTAAAAACTGTGATTGTTACTTTAAATATTTTTTAAAGTCATATTGTTAATAAAAACTATAGAAACTGTGACTGTTAATTTTTTTTACAAATATATGTACCAATATATTTATGGAGATGAAATATATTATAATGGTAAATTTGAAATATATTTTCATATATATTTAAAATATAAGTATATTATTATTTTCATATTAAAATTGAAATATTTTTATCATTTATTTCTAATTTTATAATGAAAATTTTGACAAATATTATAAATTTTAAAGAAAATATTATTTTAATTAATTATTAATAAACAAATTATTTTATCTAAAACTGATAAATTAATAACTCTATAAATTAATAAAATATTAAAGTCCCAACATTATTTATTTATAGAGTTTCTAGTGTCACTCTTGATAATTTAAATATTATATCACAGAAAATAATGAAAACTATAAAAATAAAAGTGGTTACATAATATCATCATATATGGTATTTTGGTAATAAAAAGTTCAAGTAAAAATACTAGAGCCATATTATAATCTATCTGGCGTGACTTTAAAAAAAAAGTAGAAGTTTGTGAAGTAAAAAATTAAAGTTGGGCTGTGTAGGCTGTAGAAAAAAAAGAAAATAAAAGCATAATTGGCGAAAAATAGCTGTTAAAACTGTAAAAATCTCCACAGCTCTTACAGCCACATTACCAATTGGGCCATAGCTCTTTCCTCAAATTATGAACTATATTTATGTAGTTTTGTTAAGTAGCATTTTTCAAGATCAAGAGCTTGTAAAATTAAGCTAGGTTGGATATTTTGTATATTAATCAATAAAGTGTGCCTTAAATTGTCACATATACTAGAAGGGAAAAAAGTAGAAGAGGATACTAACTTAATAAAAATATTAACCATTCAAATTCTCTTGATTCGTTTCCCCCTCCAATTTCTCTGTAATTATTTGTATTTTCTGTTATTTTATATTTTTTGGCCTCTAATTGGACACGGTATGTTCTTAAAATGAATGAGATGGAACATCACAGAAAATAAAACTGAGTTCATGAAAAAGGAAAAAAAAATCAGTTATTTTATATTTTTTGGCCTCTAATTGAGTGCAAATGGTTGTATATTTAGAGGAACAAAATCTGGTGGAATTGTAGATTCCTCTAAATTTCACCATTTGAATTGAAAAAAGTTGAAATTTCAACTCATTCCACTAAAAAAAAGTTGAAAAATGAATTAATTATAAAGAAAATATGTTCAAATTATTCATCTACTATTTTGGAGAGGAATTCATTCTTCTAAAATTCAAATCATTTTTTTCCATTTATTTTACTGTTACTTTTAATGACAACCATTTGCACCCAAAATAATGGATGTTACAGTGTATAATAGACTGACGTAATGCACATGTAGAAAGTAGAAACAAGATAAGATCCTATTTAAATTTTTCTAAAGTTAGAGTTAAATAAAGGTTAATTATAGGAAACTTGAGCTATAAATTCGGAGGGAATATACACTGCATGACCGTTTTCCCTCCATCCATCTCTTCTTCCTCCGGATCGAGAAAAATCTCCGATCCATTCTTCTCTCACCTTCACCGAGAATCCCCAGATCGTGATTCGCAAAGATCAAGGTACTACGATGCCAATACTCTTACTCCATTAGGGTTTTTCTTTTGCAGTTACTGGAATCTCAAATGGATTCTTCGGTTTTTTTTTTTTTTTTGAATCGTCAGGTTTGTTGATCTATTGAGGGTTTCTAAGTTTCAAAATCGGTGAATAGTAACTTAATACGCAAGGAATCTGATTTGAGATGGAGTGTTGTCCATCGCGCATAGGAGAATTTTGTTATTTGTGAATTTTGTGGGAGAGATATTGAATTTTTAGATGGTGAAGATGAAAAGACCTTTGAGGTTATTCATAGAGGTATCGATGAAGGAGTTAATTAGGGGTTTCAGGAGGCAAAGGATCAGATGGAGAAAAGCGTTTCTTGTCGGTTCTATAATGACCACCATTGTTGTTCTGCTTCACACACCCACGTTTCCCATCTTCTCCGATGAAGAAACCGACTCTGATTCTTCGCCTTTTTACTTGAACGGTTCTCTTCATTTGAACATCCAAATTGTTAGTGAAGCAAAGGCTGAAAGCTTTCCGTTAGTGGAATTGAATTCTTCTTCTGAGTTCCGTAGTGGAAGAAAACCTGTAGATGAAGAAACCCGAACGGATCTTTCTAGAAAAAGGCGAAAAAGGAAGAAAAGAAAGAAGACGAAAGATGATCTGATTCTTCCTGATCCTCCACCATCACCACGGCATATTCTTTCTTCCTCTGAGGTCAGGTGATATCAGAAACATTTTAGGGTTTTGACTTTCTCTACAGGTCTTTAATGGTATATAACGTTTTCATGTTTTCTTAAAAATGTCATTCACTGAAGTAATAAGCACGTGAAAAATTAACCAATTGTTTTACAATCATTTCAGCACAATTTAAAGTTACAGAACTAGTTCAGAAAAAATTCATTCTATCTAATGAATTGTAATTTTTTTAGCTTTGTAAGTTTATTCAGTTTTAGGTTCTCGTGCTTAATTAATTTCGTTAGTTTATTATTCAGATTATATAGTTGACATATCAATCAAGTTTCTCTTTAACACACTTGTGGACTTAAACAGAGACATGCTCTTTCACTGCAACCAAAAGAAGCTTTAGCTTATGCAAAAATGGAGATGCAGAAAGCCCCGGAAGTCGTGAATGACACGGATCTCTTTGCTCCGGTGTTTCGCAATCTCTCTGTTTTCAAAAGGTATATACAATCTCAGAGGTACCCGAGTTTATTAGAATCATAATCGAACAAAAAGTTTTAACGCAAAAATGTTTTTTTAGGAGTTATGAGCTTATGGAACTAATACTGAAGGTCTACATATATCCTGACGGAGAAAAACCGATATTCCATCAACCGCATTTAAACGGTATATACGCTTCAGAAGGTTGGTTCATGAAGCTAATGGAGTCAAACACACAGTTCGTCACAAAGAACCCCGAGAAGGCTCACTTGTTCTACATGCCATACAGTGTGAAACAGCTTCAGCATGCTATCTTTGTACCAGGATCACATAACATCAAACCTTTATCCATCTTTCTTAGAGACTACGTCAACATGCTCTCCATCAAATACCCTTTTTGGAACCGAACTCACGGATCAGATCATTTCCTCGTCGCTTGTCACGATTGGGTAAAAGCAAGACGTTTCTTTGTTCAAGAACACAAATAACTTTTCTAAACTTTTTTCTTTTTTTTTTTTATAAAAAATCATCCTTGTGCAGGGTCCTTGCACAGTGAACGAGCATCCTGAGCTAAGAAGAAACACTATTAAAGCTCTCTGCAACGCAGACTTATCAGACGGAATCTTTGTTCCTGGAAAAGACGTTTCTCTCCCGGAAACTTCCATAAGAAACGCAGGGAGACCACTCCGATACATCGGAAACGGAAACAGAGTTTCTCAGCGTCCGATTCTAGCTTTCTTCGCCGGAAACCTCCACGGTCGTGTCCGTCCACAGCTTCTGAAACACTGGAGAAACAAAGACGAAGACATGAAGATATACGGTCCTCTTCCACACAACGTAGCTCGGAAAATGACTTACGTGCAACACATGAAATCGAGCAAATACTGTCTTTGTCCAATGGGTTACGAAGTGAACAGTCCAAGGATCGTCGAGGCTATATACTACGAGTGCGTCCCCGTTGTGATCGCTGATAACTTCGTTTTGCCGTTCAGCGAAATTCTTGACTGGTCTGCGTTCTCTGTGGTTGTGGCGGAGAAGGAGATTCCACGGCTGAAGGAGATACTGTTGGAGATTCCGATGAGAAGGTATCTGAAGATGCAGATGAATGTGAAGATGGTTCAGAGACATTTCTTGTGGAGCACTAAACCTAGAAGGTACGATGTGTTTCATATGATACTTCACTCCATTTGGTTTAACCTTTTGAATCAGAACCAAACTTCTTCTTCCGATCATGATTCCGATTCCTGACATTTTTCCATAATTATGTCTGTACATGTATATAATCAATCCCTGGAAAAATATTTCCATCATTAAACGGGCTCTCTTTCTTGAGGCCCATATTGAATATAAATAAGCTAAGTTGATTAGCCTCCGAGAAAAAGAAAGTACATTATGCAAAACTACTTCGGCGACAGGACTGAAGTAATTAAGGTATTAAGTTATTTGCTTTATAAAAAGTAATGACCCCATAAAAATTAAACAATGGGACCAATTCTAACGACCATATATATAATTACGTAACATATACATGGTCCGGTGGTCCTCTACGTATTAAAAGTATGTCTACGTGTTATAGACCCCCACATTAATATATACATTAGTAAAACATTTATTTGTGTACAGTTTAATAATTAATGAAACATTTGACATCCAGTACTTATTGGCTTAAATTGTATAGGTATGTCGCAACCACTGCCATCATGCAATACATTGTCGCTTTCTATACTAAATTTTACAAACCCCACCCTATAAATTTAATTAAAAAAATTACAGGTAATGTAAAGCAAAACGAAAACTATAGTTCATTCACTCAATGGGTTGCTGTTTGCAAAACTTTTATAATATATACATAAAATGAAAAAAACTATAAACTATGCTGAGATTTTTTTATAACAAACTCTTTTTAAGGTTTTCTTGAGCTAATGAGATAACAGTTATAAGTAACTAAAACTGAACCATTACAGACCGGAATCCAAGTGACCAGATGGCTCACTATAATAGGACATATATTCATCACAAGAATAATCGGAGTTTAACAAGGTCATCTAAGTTTAATTATGGTGTTCGTACGTGGTTGCACAATGTTATTGGTTAGGCACCGATGGTGTGTGGCTGTGCAATTTATATTATTGTGAACCATCTATTTTATATGCTGTTTAAATCAGATGCACGTAGTTTTAAATAATTTGTCGCTAAAATTTCTGGTCGTCTTATAAAAACTTTTAGTTGTAAAATCTAAAAACGAAGAGCGCGCAGTATCTTCTAACGTAGAACGTCCTGTAATTTTATATGTTGTACAAATTTTTTTAGAGCAGCTTTTTCGATTCTAATTACAAGTTCCACTGTGTGATGTCAAAAAAAAACACAAATAATTACAAATTCCACTTTTGTCCGTACAATATTGGACCGGCCTCCACTGTCACATGTGACGTGTCTATACTCAATATCTGACACGTGGCAGTGTTAGATTCTCACTTGACTCTGAAGTTATTTGTACGTTCTTCTTTTGGTATATTGGACCCTACACTCTCTTTTCTTTTATTTTCTTTTCTTTTTCTTGTCAAAAACACTCTCTTTTCTTTTTTGCTTATATTGCGTACTTTTTGTCTCTTAAAAACACGATGAATTATTGTATTGAACTTATCATTTCCTCGCACACAATCGTATAAATCAATAATGAGTGGTAAGATGACAAGTGTCTTGGTGCTTAAATGCTTTTCAACCCTGAACCTGAAGAAGTGTCTCAAGCCCTTCCTCTCGAGAAAGTACAAGAGGGTTATTACATGGCCATACTCTAATTAAACAGCTGGGAAGTAGTGTCTCTCTATGCTCGTGATGGGTTTCAAAAAAATATCTGACTATTCACCTGTTTGTTTTTTTTTAATTTTTAAACTTCGATATTAGGTGATTAATTAGGACTATTTATCATGATTCTTGGTGTTATATTTTCACATTTAGCAATTTATATATGCTTACATATATATACTAAAACAAAGGCGGTCTTTTTAGTCAACCATGAGAAATTAATTAATATTTTGAGAGTTTTATCTAACAGATAGAGGTTCGACTAACATGCTCAAAACAAATGACTGTCATAAAATATTCATCCAATCACACTTTTTAAAAATGTTAAACATTAAATGATGTATAAGATATATGAGCAAAAACTTAATTTTTTTTTTATTATCATATGCTTTTTTGATGAAAATTCATAAAATTTGATGATCTAAAAAGTTGTGATTTCTTAGACCTTCAAAAAGATTATGCTGAACAATTTTATAACCGGACGGGATCCTTCCAACGAACAGCTCATTTTGTATCTGACGTTGTATATTCAACAGTTAGTACAAAATATCAATATTTGACAATGTTCCTATTTTTAACTAACGATAAGTAATTAGTGCGATCAACTATAATGAATTAATAAATGGCTTATCCCTAATTCCCTATTATACAAATATTTTGATTTGTTTATTATTTACGTGCTGAACAGTTTAATTTGAATCTTTTCATGAAAGAAAAGCATTTGAATCGTATTGGTTGGGTGGACTCGGTTAAGATAACGATTTTAATTGATAGTAATGTGAAATGAGTTGGCATTAATGCTTAAAGAAATGATTAACTAATGTCAAAGAAAGTTGAGAATGTGCTTACAGACTAGGTGACAAAACCAAAAGACCATTTGAAACATCTTATCCTTTAAAAGTAATTTAAACTAAAAAGTAGTAATAATATGGGTTTGTTGGTGTTGTCTAATTAATGATATATGCATATACTATATAATAAATATAATATATTCATGTATGCATTTGTGTGCTTATTATGTGGAAGACAATGATAAGAGTAAAAGTGTCGCAATCAAACATGGACTCCCTCTGATGTGAAATTTCCACATCACTATCTTGTTTTCCCAATAGGATTCTTCTAAGTGTGTGAACCACAATTTTTAGTACCCGCCTTTATTTTTAAAATAGTATTAAATGGCTAGACACAATTATTCAGTCGAACCAACTATATACAAACACATACGCAATTAAACTTACCTAGGGACATAATTTTAACAGCGACAGTTTTTACATGTTGATATAAGAATTAAATTGTATAGTATGCGGTTTGAGTGGCTATAAAATGAAAATAGGTAAAAAAAAATTTTTTGTTAAACTGAAGACCAGAAAAAAATATTCACGTCATTAGCCTTTCTGAACACTTTGTTTTACACGTTTAACTGTTTTTAATAGGGATGGAAAAACAATCTCAAACCCAAAATATCGTACCAACTACGAGTTGTGTGATTGGGTGATCCAGTTCAGTTTTGGTTAAACTAAAGAAGTACGAACCCATTTTACAACTGTTTTGACTTCAACAATATACGCTAAATTTTACCCAAAAAAACAATATACGCTAAAACGATGTACACTTGATATATATATTTTGGTTCAATGTTTGATTCGAAATACGAAATATGTGAAACCATTTGTTGTGGTTCGAGAAAAAAATATACACTGTAATAAACACAAAATTCTCAACAGAGTTATTCCCTCAATTTTCCATGTCATGTGCATTAACTTAAATAATTATAGTTATAGATATTGCTCCTCAAAGTCAATTTAAATTGATTACATAATTAATGATTAATGTTTCAACAAGTCGTCTAGACTTTAGAAACTAAGAACACACGTTTTTATAAAACGAGTGGCAAATATGAATATTATAACTAACTCTTTTTTATAATAATGTTCCTCCGATAGCGAAAAGTTAGAATCAATTTAGCTAGTTAAATTGATAGAAACAAAATTTAGATATAAGTTTAAATAATTAGATTTAACAATAAACACCATCAACTTTTTCAATTTACAGAATCAAAGAAAAGGGAACTGTAGGGTGTGACACGTTGGTTTCGACTCAGACCATTTTGTTATAGAACTTATGTCCTGTGTTTTATGTTGTGGTGGACTTATGAGAGTTTCTTACCATAAAATTTGATCATCTTCGATATCCAAACGATTCGGCCAAATCTAGATACTTAGTAATAAAATTGATATTAAGGGCAAATTGTTTTAATATACCACAAGAAAAACAAGACAAATTATAATGAAAGTTATAATGGAAAGAGATTCATCAAAAAATTTTGATGAATTTCCGATAGAATTATGACGGTATTCATTTTTTAAAAAAATTCTGTCAGAAATTTATTGAAAGTTTCTGATTGATTTTTTCTGACAGAATATATATTTTTAACTATCAAATTTTTTTTTAAAATTAAATATTTTTTATATATAAGAATTATAACAGAAGCGTTCATCACACTTTTCTTTATAAATAAAATCATATTTTCAATTTTTTATAACTCTATGTTTCAATTTCTTTCTCTAACAAATTTATCGAAAGTTTCTGATAGATTTCTGACGAAATATATATATATATATATATATTATTTTTTTCTAACAGATTTCTAACAAAATTTTTTAAATTGAATATCTTGCATATACAAGAAGTCTGACAAGAATTCTGGCAGAAATGTTCATCACAATTTTCTTTATAAATAAAACCATATTTTCAAATTTTTACAACTCTATGTTTCAATTTATTTCTCTAACAAAACCCCTATTGTATCTCTCTAACCATAAGGAGGTCATTATTGTTTTTACAATTTTCTAGTTTTAAATGTTTATAATTATTTGCAAACAAAAAATGTTTAGAATTACTTTCTTAGATTTACAATTATAATAGTTTATATTTAGGTGGTTAGTTAGGATTATAATTAGCTTATAGATTTAGGATTGTAAATAATTTATATTTAGGTAATTAGGTATTATAATAATTAGATTGTAAATTTAGGGTTGTAAATGATATTTAGGTGGTTAGTTAAATGTATAATATATGTTGTTTTAATTTATATAAGTAAATTGCATTTTTTGTCTTTTTATAATAAAATTGTTTTCTCCATGTCATGTTTATAAAAGGAAATGAAACAAGAATCGAAAGAATTAGAAATTGTGAAAAAGGTGGAAGATGTATAAAATGTTCAAGAGATAAAGAAAGTGGAAAAAGTTCAATACCTATTTGATCTAAACAAGACATTTTACTAGAAAGATGGAGAGCTTCACATAAATAAGAAATTTTAAAAATGTTATTAAATATGTTTAGGAATTATTGGCCTGATGATTTTTAATAAAAACTAAAATAACTATATATATTTTATTTAAATGTTGTATGTATTTTTAAGGAAAATTTGTTGTTCTGAG